AATTTTTCCAGCACCATTTATTAAAGAGGCTATCTTTCCTCCAGTGAGGGTATTTGACTCCTTTGTCGAAGATGAGGTGGCTGAGTGTGTCTGGAGTTGTTTCTGTATCTTCTAATCTGTTCCACTGGTCCTCAGGTTTGTTTCTTGCCAGTACCATGCTGTTTTTATCACAGTAGCTTTGTAGTGTAATTTCAAGTTGGCAGTTGTGATAGCCCCTGCCATTTCTCTGTTGCCTAGAATTGCTTTTGCTATTCTAGGTCTCTTCTTGTTCCAAATGAATTTTTGGATTGTTTTCTTAAGGTTCATGAAGTATGCTGCTGGGATTTCAATTGGGATTGCATCGAATCTATATCGCAGCTTTGGAAGTAAGGCCATTTTCACTATGTTGATTCTTCCTACCCAGGAGTAAGGGATGTCTTTCCATTTTTGGATATCATCTCCAATCTCTTTTCAGAGTGCTATTGTTTTCAGAGAAGAGGTCTTTGATTTCTTTTGTTAGGTTGATTCCTAGGTATTTTAGTTTTTGGATGCTATTGTGAAAGGAATTGATTGCCCTATTTCTCTCTCAGTGAGTCTGTTGTTCATGGAGAGGAAAGCTATTGATTTTTGGGTGTTGACCTTGTATCCAGATACTTGACTGAATTTGGTCATTAAGTCTAGAAGACTTTTGGTGGAGTTCTTGGGGTCTTCTATACAGAGTATCATGTCATCTGCAAAGAATGACAACTTGACTTCTTCATTTCCTATCTTGATTCCTTTTATTTCTTTCTCTTGCCTAATTGCTGTGGCTAATGTTTCCAAAAATATATTGAACAGGAGTGGTGATCGTGGACATCCTTGTCTTGTTCGTGATTTTAGTGTGAAGGATTTCAGTTTTTGACCATTTAGTATGATATTGACTGTCAGATTTTCATAGATGGCTTTTATCAGATTGAGGTAGAGACTGTCTATTCCAATTTTTTGTAGGGTTTTTATCATAAATGCATGTTGGGAGGCTGCTTTGTGAAGATATGGCGGGAAGGTGCAAATGTCAGCATGGGAGGTAATTCGGACATTTTAATTCATATAACAAGAGGACAAAAGGAAGATGAACATTCTCTCAGGAGACTTTTTGTCAATATAAACTTAAAGCTCCTGTAATACAAATGTGTGAATTTCAGTACGTATCTGGCTGGGTGGTAAATCTTTGCTGACTCTAGTCACTACGCGGAAGTTTTCTTTGAACATGATCTGTACCTTTTTACGAGCTATACAGTACGCAGAAAAGCTGCACGGATCCTCTGGGAGACGATTGCTGTTGGCGCACTTTGCGCTTAACAAAGCTTGCTTTACGACTGAGCCCATTTTGAGATGGGGGCTTGGAGAGCAGAAGAAAATGGTGCGACCTGGATCTATTTTTGAAGTGCCCCAGAAAACTATCTGGATGCAGGGACCGCGACCCCAGAAAGCAGAAAGTGGCAAACAAGTATCTGTGCCCAGAGGTCAGAGAGGGGAAACCGCTATCCCAGTGACTCAGAAAGTGAAAGAAGCTGGAAAAGATTTCACCTACTTAATAGTGCTACTCATTGGAATCGGCATCACAGGTGGCTTGTTTTACGTGATTTTCAAAGAACTTTTTTCTTCATCCAGTCCTAGTAGGATACATGGGAAAGCCTTAGAAAAATGCAGAACACATTCCGAGGTGATCAGTTTCTTTGGTGAGCCTGTTAAAGGCTACGGGGAGATGACGAGACGTGGTCGAAGGCATCATGGCAGTTTTATCGAATATATAAAAGATAGGCTGAAACACACACGTGTGAAATTCTACATTGAAGGGTCCGAGCCAGGGAAGCAAGGAACAGTGTATGTGGAAGTGAAAGAGAATCCAAAGAATGGTGAATATGAATTTCGGTACATATTTGTGGAACTGGAATCCTATCCTAGAAGAACCATTATCATTGAAGATAATCGATTCCAAGATAATTAAAAGAATCAAGCAAGCATACTGTTCCCTGGTGGGTGTGAAATGATGCCGATTCATTATGATCGTCACAACTCTCTTCCAGAATCTGTTCAGAAGAGTAAGACAGTATAGCGCTCATAAAGGTGAATGTAATAGGATATTTGATACATTTAGACAAGCCTTGTGAAAAATCATGAAACAGATCATAAAGCATATTTTATTAGTGAATTTTCAATTATGGCAGTATTTTTGCTCTAATATCATTCATGATGACAATTTTTTGTTACTGAATGTTTTACAACATGTAAATAAACAAATTTCAATTAAAAAAATAAAATAAATGCATGTTGGACTTTGTCAAATGCTTTTTCTACATCTATTTAGATGATCATATGGTTTTTGTCCTTGGCTCTATTGATAAAGTGTATTACATTGATTGATTTGCATATGTTGAACCAAACCTGAATCCCTGTGATGAATCCCACTTGTTCAGAGGGTATGATCTTCTTGATGATCTTCTGAATTCTATTTGCCAGGATCTTATTAAGGATTTTTGCATCTATGTTCAATAGTGAGGTTGGCCTATAGTTCTCTTTTTTGGTTGGATCTTTCTCTGCTTTGGGGATCAAAGTGATGCTTGCTTCCAGGAATGAATTCAGGAGTATTGATTCCCTTTTAATTTCATTGAAGAATTTAAACAGTAGTGGCAGTAGTTCCTCTCTAAATGTCTTGTAGAATTCAGCAGTGAAGCCATCAGGACC